GAGATGGCCCATGCGGTTGGAGCGCCAATTTACTGCTTACGAGGTCCGTGGTTTGACCCCGACCTCTGACTATCGACTTCCCTTGTCTAGGCTTGGGCAAGAGTATCCCAGCCCTCGTGAAACCGTCGGGTGGCATGACAGTTAGGCACCGAAATGGTGCTATAGCTGAGCGATGGTGGACAGCACGATGAACAAACAACAAATTTGGAGCGAAAGCAGAATACCAGTCGAACGGAGCTTCTCAATCGTCATCTCAACTTTCAAAAGGAGCTCAAATCATACGAAATAGCTGAGCGATGGTGGACAGCACGATGACCATACAACAAATTTGGAGCGAAAGCAGAATACCAGTCGAACGGAGCTTCTCAATCGTCATCTCAACTTTCAAAAGGAGCTCAAGAACATCATACGAAATCCATCAAAAGATCAACTTCATGTCCGTCGCATCTAAGGTGCTCTCTGGCATAATTTAGCGCAAGTTGGTGAAGTATCGGTAGAGAGAGACCGTGAAAATCGAGCTAGGTTTCACCCCGGCCGAAGATGCATCGACCACATCTTTATCTTGAAACAAGTTCATGCAAAGCCTCACTTTGTCCGACTTCCCATTTTGGCTGTTTTTGTTTACCTGAAAGCTGCTTTTGACTCCGTCGCTCGTCAGAAAATTTGGTGATCAAGGGTGTCCCTTTCATATACATATCCCTTATGAGGGTTCTGTATGCGAACTCCATGAACGCTTACGAGTATACGGGAAACTTTCTACTGAGTTCACGTCCACTGGTGTAAGTTAAGACTATGCTCTTGCTTTTCCTCCTTAACTTCGTCACTAATATGCTGCTTGACGTTCCTCTGCTGCCTCCGAAAACGCAGGTGTCGAAATGCCCCCGGGGCGTCCGCTTACAGGCAGCCAGTACGCAGACGATATTTCTCTCTTTCAAAAATGCAAACCATTCTGAATAACCCAAACAACTGCGCGGTTACGAAACCGCTTCACACCTGCAAAACTTAAGGTGCTGCTACAGGAATGGGTTGAATCAAACCGAAACTCATACTTGCAGACGGGCCAGTCGAAGTAGTGAATAACTTTATCTAAGTAAGTATAGGTATATTAGTAAGTGTATAAATCCCGGTGGACTTGCGGGAGGTGAGATCACTTCTGGAATCGGGAATTTCATGGCAGCTTTTGCAGACCTCCGACATCACACACACACGCCCACATCAATAGAAAGCTAGTGCAGCGCACATGTAAAAGCGGTTCGCATCAGAATCCAGACGCTAAGGACCGCTAGATGAAGTAGGCGTCAAGGAATGAAGAATGATTCTGGCGTTGCGTGGCTGTGGCAACCGAATGAACCGTGGATGTTACAGCGAACGGCAACGGGCTGGGAACAGCTCTAACAGCCTTTAAGATATAGCGCTTTCGACGGGATTAGGAGGGGAGAAGAACAAATATGTGAAAGAGGAGAAACAGAGGCGATAGAAGTAACTTGTTTTCGCTTGCTAGCCCTGCTGTATGCGGTAAGGTGTTGTGACTCACTGGACGGTGGTGTAGCTCTGTATCGGTCCCTTGGCTCCCTGCTCCGCCCGCAACGGTATATAAAAAGGCTCGGTAGCTCTATACAGCTCTTTATGGAGACAAAGGAAAAGTATTACATCTATATTTATAGGGTAGTCACAGAGTTTTCCACAAGGTCGTGCCAGAATCTCCGTGAGGGAGCGAGAAGCGTCCAGTCAGAGGCGATTGACTCGGATTGGCGGGTATTCTGACCAATCAGGGTATGCCTTCGTTTGGCCCGTGTCCCGCACGTGACATCCGTCCAAATGATATGAGGTTCGGTTATTAGGAACGGCTGGCCTCCGAACACTTCCCCCTTGAGAGTACTGTCCAACCGACTGCTGCTTTGGACTCCACTGTGACGACTCATGGAGTTGCTGTCGCATTTCAGTCCGTCGCTGGGGCTGTGTGCATGCCGATCTGGGATCTGGTACCCTACACTTGGGAGGTATGTCACGGCTGTCCGGCGTCCCGTGCGACGTGGTCCCCTCGCCGAGCCGCAGTCTGTTGCCTGAAGTTGGTTCACTTGATGCGGCTGTGCCTATGGTCTTACGTGTATCTCTTGTTTGACATAGTCAACCCTGCGTCCACCATGGAGAGCATTCCCCATATATTCGAATCAGTGGCTAGTCTCTGTGTGACTGTTGTGGCGTCTTTTCTGCCGGCCCCTCTTCCTTGACTTTCCGGATAGCAGTAGAATGATCCGCCTCAACCTGCGGCTGCAAACTGAAGGGTTCAGCCCGCGAGTGAAACGTTGCGGGTTGCTGGCAGGGTTCACCAAATTGGACTGAGGTGAGAGGGCTGCCGGTGCCTGACGCCAGGAGCTGTGTCGCATATGCTCCATCTGGTCAGGACGTGATGTTCTCGTGAACATATCGGAGCCCTTTGCAGTTCTTTCGATCGTCACAAACGGCATCGAGGGGGTCGTCCAACAGTTGAAGCTCATTAATCCAATCAAGGACCAAGAGATCAAGGCCTGCATAGTAAGTACCTGCATGGTAGTAAGTACAATTAGGTTGAATCCCCTTGAACATTGCGGAACACTTCAGCTTCCCGGTCAGTTCGAGGCTTCTACCAGATGCATTACGAACGGTGCACTTTGTTGATTCCACTGGTGGCCTTCCAATTGCGTTCCAGATTCGTTTTGAAATCAGTGAGGTCAGAACTCGTATCCAGCTGAAGGATAACTGGTGTGCCATTGATACGTAGTGTGACAAATTTACGTCGACAGGGTGATTTTATCCTGAATGTGGCGGTCATAGCTTTTGCCCGCGTCCTTTTTTCGGGTCGGTGTTTGCGCGAGCTCCTGAAGTTGTCTCTGAAGCATTCTTTATGACCCTTTCGATTGCACTTACTGCACCTGTGGTTCCGGTAGGGACAGTGGCTTGAATAGCGCCATTCTTCACAAAACCAGCAGGGTGTGGGCGGTTTTCTTGGAGTTCGTTTTGAATTTGACTTCCTTTTGGAAGTCACTTTGCATACCATATCAGGCTGAGAGAATTTGGAATGTCCAATCATCGCAGCATCAGCCTTGAAATGCTGGAATTCGGTAGTAAGTTTTTGAAGCGTCAACCCTGAATCCTGTTCAGTTCGATTCAGTAGCCGTGTCCGAATATCTGAATCGTGTGGCGACTCAAGACCAGCCACGAAGATGAGACACTTGATTTGAGGTCATGGAGTGGAGCTAAGCTGAAAGCGCTCGCATTCTCTGTTGACCACACCGGCATAGGTGCTGAAATCCTCGGTATCCCTTTTGGTAATCTTGAGACACCGATAAAGAATATTGAACAAGGAACTTTTCTCACCGAATACCCGGGCCAGGATTTTGACAGCATCTGCGAAACCAAGGTCACGAGGGGGTTTGGGGAGTACGAAATTTGTGAACCGATCCTGTTCAACTGTCCCGAGTTTCCGCAGCAACAGTCGAACTTTCCATGCATAACCAAACTAAGCAAAGTCGGTTTGAAACGTCTTCATATTTCTTGAACCAACTTTCGAAATTTCGTCCAGATTCGGCATCGAAATTGAATTCAGTAATCGAGCTGGCAGCAGCATCTGCGGAAGAAGACGGAGGCTCAAACGTTTTTGTCGCGTTCACCGACATACTGCGCATCAGAGATTCAACAAGTCTCATTTGAGCTTCTTCGAACTTAATTGGAGTTGCTCTGCCGAAATTGACATTGTGGGTTCGGGTTGTCGCCAGTTGTTGTGACTTGCTGGACGGTAGTGCAACTCTGTATCGGTCCCTTGGCTTCCTGCTCCGCCCACTACGGTATATCAAAAGGCATGGTATGAAAGTAACTGAGTGTGAGTTCCACTTTCGAGTGTAGCTCAGTGGTTTATGGTGGTTCACAAGCCGTCACACCGCTGTAATTTGGGCCTCTTCGTGATGAAGTAGAGTCTTGGGGTTCTGACGGTTGAAGCTTCGAAGCTCTTGTTTGCGGATGAATCGATTGAGTTAGTAGACAAATTTGTTGACCTGTGCACCTGTATCAGACCCGATGGTCTCGCGAAAGATATTCTCATCAGAATTGGGACGGCCTTAGCAACTTTTGTGAACCTGCGTCACCTGTGACGTAGGCGTGACATCAGCTTATCCGCCGAGTTTACAATGCTGCCGTGCGCTCCCTATTACCACGGATCAGAAATCTAGCCGCTGTGCCCTGAGGACATCAAAAAATTTCAGTGTTTGACCATCGATGTCTTAGGAGCATTTCCCGGATCTGGTGGGAACACCGGATCAGCAATACTCAAGTTCGTCGGATGATATTCGGGAGAAATAACTTACCCTTGATAGATGAACTGATTACACTACATGGATTGCGCTGGCTTGGCCACGTGCTGCGTAAGGCAGTCGACCGACTTCCTCAAAGGGCTCCTTTCGCACAGCCACGTCAAGAGTGGAAGAGAGCCAGAGGCGGTCGAACAATGACTTGGCAGCGAAATGTGAAAGTCAGTACCAGCAAACTCAGCTGCGCTGGTCATTACCGTCTTCCTGGATGGAGACTACGAGACGGTCCATATCAATGGTTAGAGACTTTGTCAGACATGGCCCAGTCGCGCCCTCAATGGCGCTCATGCATCCAAGCTACTGCTTTCAATGGATAGCTCCCTTCCCAACCCCCCACTTAACAGTCTACCTACAGTGCTGTGTTTATGCATTAATTTATCAGCTCCCGCCTCCAATGCGCAGCTACCTACCCCACCTTCCCGAAACATCGGTGAACGAAACTGTGGCAGCTACAACCACTCACGACAAGTACGAGGTTATTGCAGCTGATGATGATGATGTTTGATAGGCGTTTGTGGGATAGCTCCCAGACCTGTAATTGTCGACCGGAACCAAAGGGGATCTGGTAACTTCAACTTGCCACCATCAGGTCGGCTGTAAATAGATGACTGGGCTGACGTAGATGTACGGTTCTTCTGTTCTCATCAGTTTGAATGTGAACCTGGGTATAATTCACCCAAATCACCAACTTGTATAGCACTGTTCGTAGGCTATTTCAAAATGGCATCAGTACTGCACACCTTGTTCACGACATCGAATATTTTGTAATTCCGCCTTTTTAGTTGATCTCTTGGCTGTCTTGCCTGAAAGTGACATTGTCCTACTGAGGTTCTGGATCAGCTACAGGGAATATGTCAGACGACGAAGTGGAACCTGCAACGGAACCTGGAGTTATTTATTTGTCAACAATACCCACAGGCATGAATGTCAGCATGATATCGGATATCATGAGTCAGTTTGGCAAACTTGGCCGAGTTTACCTAGTACCTAAGACGACGAAACGGGGAAAATTTCGCCAGTATGACGAAGGCTGGGTAGAATTCGTCAACAAGAAGTATGCCAAACGCGTAGCCAAAAATCTTAACTGCACTGAAGTTCCGGGATCGAAAGTAAGTTATGAAAGTCGTGGTGCTGTGTACGGTGCGTTTAACATCTGGCTTCGTTTGTTGAAGTGCTATCAAAAGCTAATGTTCGTCTTCAGAATTCAACGGAGTGTTTCGCCTTATAGAGGAAAACACACTGGACATTATAGTTGTTTCTTACTCAACGCTTATCCTATCTCTTGGAGGCGTGACCATTGCCATTTTCGAGTACAGTAGGTTAAATGTGCTTACTGCATCAACTGTAGCTGTAATGCTTTCTTTAGCCATGGGCCACATCGGCCGTCGCGTGGTGCGATTAGTTGGGTCATCTACAAGGTGGGTAAATTAAAAGCATGATAAAAGTGACGCTGTCCTTCTTACTCTCTCCCCGCGCGTGGCTAAGATCACACAGAAGCCCTTGCGGCTGGATATACCGGGGCTGGCATTGTATTAGACCATCGATCGGATGCACCTCCGGATGGTTGTTGTTCGTCGCCTTCGCGCAGTTATTCGACAGCGTCTTTGGAAGAACCCTGAGAAATAGGGCTCCATCATTCCGTTTTTTCGGGTCTCATGCCACGTTGGATCGTACTTTTAAATCTGCCAATGAAAGTTTTCGTGTCACATTATGTACCGTTTTACGACGGGCCAGAGGCCTACAAAAGTCAGTCTCTCGTTTTGAGAAGACCCGCAGCGTCACGAATTCTCCGTTTTCTTTGAGTAGAATTCGAAGCTTTGACTGGTCAGTGAAGCTGGGATTTTAACCGAGTAGATGTTGAATCGACTACATATTAACATACCCTCAGATATTAGAGCATAGCCACGTACGTGGACTACTCAGAAACGTGGCGTTCTTTGACTTCAAGGTTTGATTCCGTCGACCGATCTTTACTTCTAAATACGCTTACTCAAGAAGAGATACATCACTGGCCTAATGAGATCAGGAGGTAACAACTAGGCTAGCTCAACCCATTCCCACTGTTTTTGTAAACCATTTACGTTTATCTTCTTTTTGTCGAGAGCCTACTCTTCATTATTCCACATTCGGAAGCACTCTTGAAGTGCCTTCACTAACACCTCCCATTGAGTCTCATGGAAACAACAAGTGAACCGTATCGTGAGTTCCCTGTCCCCCCACGGTCTCATTGCCTCCTGATTATACGAAAGAAACGGCGTGTAACATTCGTGGCTTAAGCTTCTTCCCCTGTCTTGATGGTCCCATGTGTGGCGTCTAGAAGACTAGTCTGAACAACTTTAATGCATAAAGACGAACTCGGTTATTTTGCATGTTCATTGGCGTGCACTCGTGACACCTTATCGATGTATATTCGCTGTGTTTCCAAAACTCAATTACAAGCTTCGCCTGCGCCAGTCATAATTACGACACCATCTAGACGGTATCACTTGCTAAGTTCAGCTAATTTTGCGTCCGCCAGGCGGGTTACGCTGTAGAGTATGTAGCACTTAGCTCTCATCCTCTTTACTTGACTTAATCTTCGTAAATAATCGCGTGTGGTTTTCGTCTGCCAGCTTCCGTAATAACCCACAGTGACCGAAATAATGTTTGTTTTGTTTGTAGTTTCTGCATGCGCGCCAATCAACTATATGTCTGATTCGGCGAAAGGTGCTTTCTAACGGAAGCTATACACTCTAACTCAGCACGAGAAGTCCAGAAATTGTCCTACTCACGACACTCAGTGCACAAGTAGGATGTCTCAGTTCGTTGGAGGCGCGATTTGATAACCTGTTTCACGTGAGCTCGTCTTTTAAAGCCTTTTGCTGACCACCAACTACTCAGTGGTACTGAATTCAACCGCAGTAGACGCTGTCGCGGACATTGCTGTCCTCCTACTAATGAACACCTATTTGGCCAGATGAACCACATAGCCACCAGCACCCGTGACAATGTTGTATTCTGGACTTGACCATCCGCTATCGCTATCATCCGGTGTAGGTCTTTTAAACACGTTTCTCGGAAGAACTAATAAACCAGTTCTTTTAGCCAACGAAAAACCTAACCCACAGGTTAAAAATTCACTAAACTATCCTATGCTGAGCTTTAGCAGCAGTGCTCGTAATAGACGTCAGTCGTAATTAATATGAAATAAGTATCGATACGGTGGAGCATGTGGTGTTTCTGAGATCCCATCAAGTAGGTACTGGATTTCAGGACTTTCGTTGCTTGAGAGTAAGTCACCCAAAATGGTTTCAGACCTCAGCTGAGAAAACCTGGTGGAATCAGAGGGTCCTCGAAATAAGGCAAACTAGTGCAGCGGGAACTGGTTATCAGCCCTACCCCAGTTGTAACATGGCGGCTAGCTTTAATACTACTTCGACGCGTGACCTCATCATGAGAGACGCATGTCCGTTTGCGCCATTCATGGCTTAGTCACTGGCACATATTGCCGGCAATCGGTATGATTCCAAAGGGGCCTTTTGCTACGCGGATAGGTTGGTCATTCTGCATTTGCTTGGCTAACGAGTGCCCTTGGAATTTATTGATATTTCTTGTGCTATTTATTGCCATACTTATGGTTGTGTTAGGGTTTACGAATTGCTGTCCGGAAGGTTACCCACATCTAAGGGGGTCGGCCCCCGATTTTGACCCCGGCGCCATCATGGAATGTAATATCCAAGAGACCGTTAATATGGATCTCGAAATAAGGTATCCAGAAAGAATTGTAAACTTAGAATTATACTAATAACATTGAATTTTCATGCATCTGTACGGACCATTCCAAATAAACTGTTTCAAGTGGCCCTTCAATCTCAGAATTTCTCACTTTTATGCATCCTTTTGAATTTTGGGATTGAGGGGATTAAGTTTGTTGATGTTTCCTAGGCTGCACAGGTCATGACTACATTGTGACAGATAAAATATCACCAAGGTGTGGCAATATTTGCCAGCTTGCGTCATCTTTGGCATCAGAAGCAGATGCAGAGGTTAAGACGTCGTGTTTACAAAACGGCTGTGAGAGCAGTTTAATTTATGGCTGTGAAATCTGCTAACTCCGATCTGAGGACCTCAAACATCTTGAGCTACTTGATCAGGGATGTCTCCGTAGAATAACAGTTTCTAACTGATTGCAGTGTGTACGTGATAAAACGGTCCGTAGGAGACTATAGAGTAATGAGTCGAATTCGATGGTGCAGCAGATGAGACTTAAATGGTTGAAGTCGTTGCGATGTGTGACGTATACTTGGCATCTGTTTTTCAAAGAAAGTCTTGTTTTTATACTCCAAACCCTTGTTTGCGATTATTCACGACCATGCTGTGGTAACGCGAAATAAAAGCAACTGCACTGTAAGTTCGTCACGCCTTCGAGGGTAGGGTCCATATGACGCGTGGGATTTTGAAACGCTACAGGACGTGGCACGCAATCGATTCCAGTGGCAAGCTTACCATCAGGTTGTAAACGGATCGCCTAACAAATGCGTGTCTGTTGTGTTCTGGGCTTGTGTTGGCTGAAGTTCACAAAGGATGCTGGGTCAATTCTGATAGTTTTATGTTGCTTTAACATGATGCCTGGACGGATTTCGATGGTGTTGAATGTTTAAACCCCTCGTTCTTTAGCTATATGGGGTTTTTGGCAATAATTCCTCACTCCTGCGGCCAGTGAAAATACTAAATACATCCATCTTGAAACACCCACCGCTAATATGGCAGGACATTTGAAAAAACGGGCCAAAAATCACTTGTCTAGTCAGACTTCGGACTTCTTAAACAAAATGAAGTCTGCCATCAGTGAAATTGCCTACGAGGTCACATCTTCAATCACGATGGAAATTACAACGTCGTCCGAGGTCGTGGCGAAATGTACCTTGTCAGAGAGATTAGAGTTTTTTCGAACATTGTTGATCAATAGACGCAAGCACTTTTTGTCCGCACAAGACCTCGGGGTAAACTTGAAAGTAAGAATAAACATTTTTGATAACATTTTTGATAAAATTAGTTTTTTTGTAATTTTCACAATTTCAGTGGGTTGTTGTCTCTGCGATTGATCAGAGAGGTTGTGGCCGTGGTGCCGAATTTAACTCAGATTCCCAGAGACTACCTTATTGAGCTGTTGCTAGTTTTAGCCGTATCCAGAAAGGTCTCAATGTGAGAATTCGGCGAACGCTCTTTGGTATGATGCGTAAGGCAGCTTGCATTTCAGGAGCTGCGGAAACCTAACAGTCGGATTCTTGCAAGTTTATTGTTGTCTAAAACCTCGGGGCAACAAAATTTCCCCGATCAAACGACATTCTTTGAAGACAAGGAGCTAGTCATATTTTACTCATATTTAGAATACTATAGTCCTGTGTAATGTTTCATCCGAACCTATCACTGCTTCCCTCACTTGAGGAACCTTTTACGGAAGAAGGGCCCTAACTTTGAGCTTACCGTTCTGCATTACATTTCATGGGAACTTAATCTTAGGATATTGGTTTCGTAGACTCCTTTTCCTCTGCCGCAGAAAACTAGCATTTTATGGATTCGAGAAAATTGCTTTTAGTGAAAACTACGGGGTTTAGGAGCGTCCTGCTGCGTCGAAAGTTCTTGTTAGCCAAATCTTCGATGCCCGACTGGTAAAACGGATTCTTCGGCGGAGTGAACGCTTCGGGAAAACTTAGATACTGTACAATTGTTGGCTTTGGACAGTTCATAAATGAACATTTTTGACCCAAGTTCACTGAGTAGAGTGTTAAATGTGCAGGTAGGGAGGTAGAGCTTTCACGTCAGCTGTCAACACTCTTGAAGAACTCATTTTTCCCAAGTGACTGGTTGGCTTGTGTGAAAATGATTATTCCATTTATTCTTTGCGACTTTGACAACCATGCTCTGTTCAGCACGTATTTCCGATTGCTTTTCTTATTTTCCTCTATTTCCACTCGTAGCGCAATCCATGGTTTGGCGAACTCTGGAACATACGGTATTTACCAGATGCTTCTTGGAACGACCTGTTTGGAGCTGAACGGGAAGAACAAGAACAGAGGCGATCAGCGCACGATCGAGATGTTCTTATCGCCAAAAGACATGCTCGACAGTTCACAGCAGCTTTGGAAGCAACAAAATTAGAGAAGAAGTTGGAGGTATCAAAGGGGAAACGGTAAGTTTTGGAATGGCGTAATGTATTTGATTTGTTTTTCTGGGTCGGTTGATTTGCTTGAAAATATTTCCCTCTCGGTTTTCCTCTAACTTGCATGTTTCCTGTGAAATTTTCAGACAGGGTTTCACGAGCACAGGGCCTTGCGGTTTGTATTAATTGTTGACCGCACTGTTCTAATCGAGATGGGAAGTTCCTAATTTTGTGTGAAACGTTGGGTTTTATAAAGGAACTTTTCGGAGTGAACCCGTATCGCTTGGGGAGTTTGAAATAGAGTAACTAGTCGGGCACGGATTTATGTACATCTCTATCTAGGAAAGATCGAACATCGTTTTTTGTGGTCTTGAGTTCTGGTGTTTAGCGCAGGGATTTCATCGGAACTTGTATATGTGAACCTGATTACGTGAACCGGTCGAAATGTTATAAAACGTGTTCCGAGCGTACGAAGTGCTATCAACGTTACAATAAACGAAGTGTGCAAACTTACTCTCGCTGCAAGGTTTGCTTTCCAGGTATGTCAGTTGCGTTGTGTTAGAGGTTGCCTTTTTTTCGAAGATAGTATTAACTGAACTGAACGATCCCATTCGTCGACAGCATTAAGCTATTTTGAGTGGTTCGAGCAGGCAGTACAGAAGTGTTTCAACGGGTTGCTTCCTATTCTGGAAGGACTATCAATAATATGTCCCTCATATCTGTTCTCCTGGGTATTTCGCATGTCACATGGGGATGTTCTTTCGGTTGTTATCAGTGTTATCACGTTTTCCACTACAGTAAGAGTATACGATCCTGATTCTAATTGAATATCCGTGATGGAGACACTAGACTGCATACGAATGCGGGCTCTATACAACGGTCCTATTCTTCTTCCCTACTGGCTAGTACGAAAGTTAGGAGTTTGCACTACTCAACCAAACTTCAGTGACAAGTGTATAAGAAAAAGCTTGGCACCGCTTGAGAAGTCATCGCGTCAAACATTTGATGTATTGGTTGTCAGGAAACTTATCGATTTTGGCACACTTTGGCCGAGGATGAAGGCAGACGGAGAACCGATCGCCAAGATCTATTTCAGCTAGCTGACTTGTGGGTTAAGACTCGCTTTTTTACTGACTTTTTAACTGTCTTAAAGTGTAAACACAAGCACCACTCTTGCTGAACAAGGACGGTGAAAAACTACTTCAAAGAAGCGGACATCCAGTGAGTTTAATTAGGGGCTTCTAAGAAGTTTATTAGCCTCAGTCGCAAGTACCAACAAGCAATCGATTCGGACATTTAGCATCCGTACACAGCATAAACATCTGAAACTACCAAATTGATGCTAGATATGGTTAACATTGGAGTAACATTTTCGAAGGGCAAACTTTATGTTCGTTATCGGTGGATTTGACAGACCACCTCCCAGTTGATCGGACGCACGAAGCCTCATACATGTCAAACAGCAGGAGAAATCTGCAATAAAAGTGGTGAGTACAAGTGGAACGTAAAGAAACCACCGATAAACGCAGCTGAATGCGAACTTAGCTGTAAACTTAACACTGTGGAAAATCCACTGCGTAATGAAATAAATTTAGAGAATTTAGGTTGCAGACGAGGACTAAGATTCATCTCGTGGCGACAGTCTCCAAGCGTCTCGGCGCAGAACCGGCAAGCTTGTGGAGGGCGGTTTTAGACCATACAGATCGAAACCTGGTCGTTTATCATTATTAGTGAAAAGTCTTCACCAAAAATGGTTTAGTCTAAAGCGCAAAGTTCAAACCCATTAAAATCGCCTTGGAAGCCCTCTTTTCGTATCTCAACTCTCGTAGCGCTTACCAACCAAAAATATACAGGAAAACAAAAAGGAGGAGACAGGCAGAGATGAGTTCGCAATTGAAACGTTCTTACTCGGAGAACAAGGTCATAAACTCATTTCGAAATGGCCTCAACTCTCCCCTATCTATCCTGTTGGTTTTACAGCTGAATCAAGCACACTAAACAACACAATCTTTTGGACGATGTTCCTGATTGATTGAATCTACTAATCACGAGGGTTCTTGCTGATTATTTCGCTTTGTGCCTCGAAATTCAGTAAACCTGGTGAATTACCAGGTTTGGCTTGCCAATGCACTTGTGCCGATAGCGAAACGTCCAATATGAAATCCATCAACTTTTTTATCAAACCTTCTCTAACTACAATGGAAGTTATAGTGTGTGCACTAACTACTTCATCGTAAGACGTTGCGAGAGGGATCGCGGCAGGTTGAAGTTCATAAGCTCTCTTTTGGAATTTGGGATGACGGATATTGTAGGAAGGGTGATAATATATCAAGGGTTCCAACAGTCGACAGGCGGTGAAAGGTCAGAGTAATGTAACCTGGATAGATGTACTTGAGTATTTCCTCACTGGTTTCCAACCGCGATGACGTTCCTTTCTATAACGTCTTGGAGTTACAAAACAGTGTCGAAGCAGAAATTTCGGCGCACCATGCAACTAATTTGTTCCGTTTTTGTTGCGTGCTGTGAATATGTTATTTCCGTTTCATACCCCAAGTAATATCGTTTCCTGTTCTCTTCCCTCAGTTTCCGGAGCCGGCAACCTATTGATCTAAACAAAAGACAGAGGCTGACAGAAAGTGAAATTTTGGAAAGATTGGCCAGGTCCCATCGAACACCACCTGAGGGCTCTTCTGGTCTTAGTGCGCTTTCCAATAGGGACTTTATGACTAGCTTATTTTCCGGTGGTTTGTGATCACATTTCCCTCTCCTTCCAACTGTAAATAAATCTTTCAGAACTCTTTGATATGTCATATTCGTGGTTATATGCAGCGATCCGTCCTTCATTTCTCATCTTTGTATAAAGCGGTTGTCTGAAACGGATAGGAAATTCGGTAAATCCTAGCGTACTTGTTTGGTTCTTGTCGACTTGAATTACTAGCATTAGTTCTTGCTACGCCTGAGTGCCAGACTACTCAGGTGACCTTACACCAACCGTTGCTAGTTTGCGGTCAGCTACGTGACTAATCCATTGTGGTTATGATTTAGCGAAGTACCCCTCTGGGACCTCGCGGTACCTGGGGCCCATCTCAATTCATCAGACACGTTTTGTCGGTGCATTCAGTTTATACTCGAAGTGTAATGAGCATGAATAGCGTCTTTTGTAACCTACGGCAAAACTCGGCAACAAAGCACCATTTTACCACTTGGTATTCCCTTATTACGTAGCGGTGACGCACCCAAAACGATCACACTGACATTAAATGCCGGTGTTGAGGTTCATTTCATTACTTCATATCATTCTGGAATGCAGATGTTGATTAAGATCATGCTCTCGTCCTACACAATTTTTTTTATACAAAATTCCTATTATAGTTTATTTTTAAAGAGCATGGCTACAGATATAGAAAGTAAATGTAGGTGATGAATGTGGAAGGGTTACAGGAGAATATTAGATAAAAAAAGAGAAGCGTCTCATTTGAACCCATGATACAAGTAGTTCCAGTCAGACAAGATGAATCCCGACGTGTGTAATAATTTTTGACATGGAAACACGCGTGTAAAGACAAACAGTGCTGAGTGCTCTTCAAGGCGCGGTAAGCGCTAGCACAGTCAAGACTCGCATATCAGGAACAAATTGTCCGTCTGGTGTGAGACTCAATGGCAAGAATGTACACACAGCCATGTACCACGCATAAAAGTGTCGTAAGTACGCAATGACAAGTCCATGACTGCGACCTTAGGAAGTCCCAGTCCAATAACAGCCTTAGCGGATTGAGGAAAGCAGATCCCTCGATAAGAAATGATCATCGGCTGGTGGACCAAAAAGTCCACATCACAACCGAATATGGCGAGGGAATCTCCATCAGCATCATGCTTCTGCTTCTCATTCCACAAAACTCAGTGGCCTCCTTAGAGGTCACTGAGCAGCAAGGGATGCTCAGTCTATGTTGCTTTTAGGTGCATTCACATAATCCACTGCTCGAATCAACAATCTACACCCTGTGCCTGAATGTTCGGTTGAGCGTCAGCTCAAACAGCTTTCATGTGGATAGAGAGATGGGGACATCAGAAAACCTGGATAATTTTAATAATAATAACAAGGAATGTTCTACAGTTGTTTCAACTAATTCACGAAACCGGAACCACGGGGCCTTCCGTCAGTCGTAGATCGTGCTGAAAATATGTCACGTTAAAAAAATGGTGTTTCGGTTTCTGGATAAAGTATTCTTAACGGCAGTTCGGTTGACTCCCTACTGCCTTGCTTGTGTTTTTCATTTGACTCACCCAAATCAAAACGTGATCCGCCGGATGTTCCATCAGGTTATCATTGTGTCTTGATAAGTCATTGGACTGCCGAACTAGATGGGCATCTGCCACATTTCGAAAGGCGATGGTGAGTTTCTATAACATGTAAGTCGTTTGAAAATTACGTGAGAATGGGAATTAGTCCCAGAGTACTGAGCTTATTAGTCATTAGCTTTGTTACAGTATTGGTGCTCGAATCGATTTTCAGTTGTATTCTTGTCATACCACAACCCTTAACTTCGTAAATGCTGCGCGCCTGAATCCTGCACGTGAGAATCAAACCTGAAAGCATCAGTTAAAGCCTCAACCAGACAGGGCCGTAGTACTCACACCTCTACCTCGCGTCCGATTCTTGAGAACCCCTGCGCATGCCACGCCCTAAAAATTGTTTTCCGTGACCTCAATACAGCTTTCGATTATGTAGATAGTGTGGCCCTCTCGTATATATCTGGATGAACAGGAAAGACCTTGATATTGGCAAATATCTCTTGTGCTAACTTTCCTAACATTTGCGGTTTTGTCAGAGTCTACAACGATTTTAGTCTGTTTTGTCATGCACTCATGGAGTGGACAATACAGAGGGTTGAAAATTTATGAATTGAAGACTTACAGCAAGGCTGGTTCACTTGAATATACGAACGACAATGTTTTGGTGTTCGATAATTATCAGTTCACACAATCTATTCTGAATAGAATGTTGGAATTGGTCCACCGTTTCTACATGAGTGTTACCCTCACAATTTAATATTTCGTCTCAATATCTTCAGCCCAGTAGTACTGTTTTAAGACCTCTAGGCAAAGAGTGAGAAGTTGCTAGTTTCCTAACCGGCACGTCCTCTGTGACTGAGCTGTTGTTCCCTTAAGTCAACGTTCACATTATCAATTTTCATCCTTGGAGTCAAAAATGAATTTGCCGTGGTAAATACAAGGTAACCCTAAAAACGATCTTGGCTGCGAAATATGTTATGAAGGTCTGGAATGCCTCCAATCATTTGGTCACCAGTGCCTTTATAGCAACAGGCCTCATCGTTCATGCACCGGAATCGTGCGTACCCGAATATTCCGTAAGGAAGCTAGACCACTGAAGCAGCAGGTGGAACCTATCAGTTTAAGGCGCATGGGACATCTGCCATGCGACCTTAACCACCACCTGCCAGAGAAAACGTAGCGGAGGACAGATCAAAACACTCCATTGTGACATGAAAAGAGTCAGAGTTGAACGGCTCTGTGGATTTCTGGAAATGCACTCATTTGCAAGTCAATTTGATTTTCACGAGAGACGACCGAATCTCTCCTTTATGATATTCTACATAAGGTTCACGGAAACTCAGGGACTGCGCCTACCTGATGAGCCCCAAGAAGGGCGAAACCGGTCGTGGGGTTTCGAAGAGTTTTCAGAAACTTTGTAAGTAGACTCTGTGGATTCTTTACAACCGCTTGAGACTCACATAATTCTTTGAGCACGTGGTTAGAAACCCGACTGAATATGGCAAGTTGTCAACTTCACTGGAGATTGGGCTGTCTCCAAGGCGTACTATCTAACCAAAGTTTGGCCTTAGGCGCTGCGCGCCAATATGATGAACTAATATTAACTAACTAACTAACTAATATTAATATTTCATACTCTGTTTCCAAAGGGTCATCTACTAGGCAGATTTGTATGGTATGGGTATTCTCCTTTCTAGGACAGGGTGCAGATATCCGTCAGACAAAACACTCGTTCGGTAAGACTCTTCTGTTAAGGCTTACTGTGTCGTGATAATTGTTTTCAGACTTTTCAGCCGTTTGGGTCCAGTTGAAGTTATAACCTGGGCTGTTAGGCTTAAAAATAGATAAGATAGCCTCGTGAAAAAAATAATTGTGTTCTGGAGGCTTCACTGTCCGATTGCTTGATGGCCTAAAAATGAATGCTACCCTTTAAATCAGCAAAAACAGAGGGTGGTTTCCTGTGTATTGGAGGCTTATTAAAAAGGCGGCACAACAATACGGGCTTTTGCGAATACAGAATTCTTTTGCAATGTTGTGGAATGTAGGTAGCTCGGGTGCGCTGTTTGGTTGTTGGTCTGTTCGCCGAGCTTGGCAGTTGGATTGCAAACGTTTCATCACCAATCGAGGTGACATCGTCAGTGCGGGGTGTCACCTCGATTGGTGATGAAACGTTTGCAATCCAACTGCCAAGCTCCGCGAACAGACCAACAACCAATACAGAATTCTGTCACTGATCAACCTTAGTTTACAGTTCATCACTCAGTGGTTAGTCGAATGTTTGAATCCATCCTGAGCAAGCATTATTGAAGTGGTGCACATGCTAACTTCCAGTTTTTGGTCCGAAGGTAAAGACAAGTTTTGCCGACGTGTTAAACGACCATTTCCTGTATATGCAGTTGCATATGAAGTAATCAATTACTGTATCCACTCCTAGAGAATCTAGCACAATGAATTTCATAATCTTCATCAAAACAGCAGCATCGGCTGGAGACGTTGCGAGAAATGGCGGCTAATCGATGTCAGTGGCGTTCGTGCTATCAGTTTTTTCCAAATCGTCTGATTGAGTTTTTGAAGCTGTAGGCACCTCAGAATGCATGACATAGGCCAGCACCAGCCCCAGAGTGAAAAAAAACAGAAGAGAGTGGGTGAGGGAGGCGACCTGCTGCTGGCCTATGTCATGCATTCTGAGACGCCTACAGCTTCAAAAACTCAATCAGACGATTTGGAAAAAACTGATAGCACGAACGCCACTGACATCGATTAGCCGCCATTTCTCGCAACGTCTCCAGCCAAGCACAGACGGGGTCACGAGGACCCCATTCTGGGAGGCGTACAATACCGACAACACCCAAACACTTCGTGATCTCTTTCACGCCTTTCTGTCAAGTTAGGCGCTGTCCATCTCGCGGTTTGCGCCATCCTGAAGGAGGCAGTGAGAACAACACCCGTCTCGGTAGACGGTGTTTCGGCATGCGTAGCACATGACAAATCCATCGTAGTCGGTGATGCTGGATGTTTTCTCGGAGTGAAGTGCCTGCAACACAACCAAATACCCGTTTTCTAATCACCTCGTCACTAACATGCGGACGCCATCCAAAACCAACCACGCTTCCGGTGGTCGAAGACTTGAAAACTCCTCACATCGTCTGTCCGCAGAGAACATGTCTCGCACCCACACAACAACACAGCCTTTACTGTAGCCTGGTACACACGACCCTCAAGATCCAGTGAGATGCCTTTTTGACGCCACAAGTGACGCAAATTAGCAAACGTGACTCGAGACTGAGATTCTTGCACTGACTTCATCAGACACATTTCCGTCAGAGCTAATACAACTACCGAGGTATGTGAAGTTTTCCACAATCTCCAGTGTTTCTCCTTGAATTGTAAGGGATATGTTCGCAGACGGCACTTTCTGAAGCATGACTTTGCACTTTGAAGGTGCGAGGCGCATGCCAAAATATGGTATATTGGACGATGAATTTGCATTACTTTTCTTTTCCCCACTTGCTCCTGCTGCTTTTGGTATTCTCTTAAAGTCAGT